AGTCAATTCGATCTAATATTAAAACTAACAACACAACTCACAACTCACAACGTTTATACGCTAATTTTATATGCGGTTACCGTGTCCTCTTTATTCCACAAAGCACTTAAAAGCGCCTTGAAGACTAAAATTTAGTGCTGGTAACTTATAATAGTGAATATTGAATAATAAAATATCCCGAACATCAACTTAGTAAAATATAGACCGTGTATTTTTATAGACGTAGTAATTTACTTAAATTTAGATCGGCTAGAGTCCCTGTCATTACAATTTTCAAGTACTAACTAAAATCATTTTTTTTTTTTGCTGTCTCTTACATATATGTGTATTTAAAAGGTTTAATATCCTATACAAAATAATAAAACTGGTTAAGGAGTTACATTACAAACAGGCTACGGCTTAACGTTTATTTCATGTCTGTTCAGTTTCTAAAACAGACGAATTTCTTTCAATAACAATTATAAATAGTTTTCTAAATTGATTTTGGTGCGTTGTCGATCTTACAACACGTGTATTTATTCAACGTATTGCAGAGAACGTTCTTTCATGACTCGGAACGCGTAGGTATACAATAAGAGCCCAGGATGTAACATCTTATAAACAAATTGATGAGAACTACAGATTTATCAATGATATGTTTTAGTTTAATCGTACACTCCGGACGGTTACCGTTTTCCAACCGATACTATTATCATTATAACGAATTTTCGCGACGAAAACGTTTGTTCATTATTTTATACACTGTTTGTGTACAGGAATAACCAGGTATTGTATTTAATTGTAAATGAAAAATGGGGCGAGCTTGGATTATAAACCGATAGGGGATATGAGCCCCATTCCTCCTAGTAACGCCCGTGTAGTGTATTTTATAAAATCGCATTACAAATAGAAAACGAAAATATTCTTCCGAAAACACGATACTGGGCTAATTAAACAATAATTGTATTGTATAGCGTTTATTTTATAATTCGCGTATCGCCGCGGCACGCATGGTTTCGAATCTGCATACAGTTTTGAACGGAATTCCGGACGCGTTTTCGGCTTTTCGGGTTAAACGTCGTCGGGGAAAACAATATTTAAATCGGCCCGGGCGGCGGCGGCGGCGGCTGACGTGCGAACGCCGACCGCGCCGATTTCAATAACGTTATAATTTTTTTTTTTTTTTTTTTTTTTTTCGTCCGCGGCCGCCGCGCGCCGGCGAGACGAGAGGAACGATGCGGCGTGTTCGTTTCCGCAGCCGCGAGCAAACGTTCGGGAAGAGAAGGGGAGCGTCGTCGGCGGCGTGTCGGCGTAACGGCCGCCGTCTCACAGTCATAACGGTGTCTCGCCGGAACCGACTCGGTAACGGAACGCCCGTACGCACACATACAAACGCGCGAGCGCGGCGCGCGTCGTCTATTCCCGAAACGAACGGCCCGGTGCAGCGTTCGGTCGGTGGTCGGTCACGTGTGCGCGTCCGTTTCGCCGCCGCGCGACGCGTGATGATAATAATATTATTGTGATAATATCGTGTAATAGTTTCGCGAGCCGACGCGTCTCCGCAATCTTCCGGTCGCCCGATTTGTTGTTTGCGTTATCTTTTTTGTCGTTACCTATATATATTATACCGTCATCGCGATAATAGACGCAGCAGCGTCGACCCGAATCCGGATTTATCGCCCGCGCCGTCACGGTCGTTATTTACACCCGCTGCAGTCAACGCCGAAATATTCGAACAGGAAGCGAACGAAAAAAAAAACGACTCGCCACCGTCCGTAACAACAGCACCGCGCGAATCGTAATGTCGCGGAAGGCGAATTATTAAAATATCGCGGACAACGGGACGGGCGCCACGCGAGGAGACTGCGCCGCCTACAAATGTCAAGGTATTTTCGGTTATTCGCGTTGCGTATACAGGGCGATGCTTTCGTAAAAACACACAAACGTGTGTTGCGTTTCTGTACACCCAGACGCCCACGGCCCGCACGTTGTTTTGTGAACCGCGTGATTCGAATAAACTTCCTTCGCGCAGCCACTGTGTCCGCAGGCGGCGCACCTGTTTAGGTCGCGTACGGAGATTTCGTGTAAATTCGAATGTGAATCGAATCGTCGTTTAACGATTGTCGTAATTCAAACGTCATATATGTTTATTCTGCCTACGTCTATTAGCTGTCTCGTACATAGCTGGTAAGAGAGCACGGTTATTTCTAAAGACGGCATACCGTTTACAGAAATATGATATTGTTTTAAAACAAAACAAAACGATTTGAAAGCGAATTTAACAGTTTGAAAAATCGTTAATAAATTTATTGTAAAAGCTATAACGGTCAGTGACGTAGTCAGAGGGGTGACACGATAATCATGATTCCATTTCCCCCCATGCTCACTACGGAACTGCTAACGACTACATAGATTATAATTTTGTATGTATAAAGCAGACAAACATAGAACATAAACTATAATTTCTAAAAAAAAAAAATATTAAATCTATGCGCATTATACATTTAACGCGCTAATAATTAATTTCCATGTTATTTCACGTAGTTGAATGTTTACTAAGTAATAAAATGTCTAATTATTCTCCGAGTTGTGTTTATTTTTTTATATATATATATTAATTAATTAATTTAGATAAAGTTATAATACAAAAATGCGTAATGTTATAAATCGTAGGTATCGCTAAGTTTGTTGTTTTTTTTTTTTTAATTTTTAAATGTCTATCTAAATTAATATTTAACATATTAGGATACCAAGAGTGAGTAAACATCTGTTTGAAATTGTGTGAACTGACCTGTGCAAATTTAGCACTTTCACCGCCACATTTCAGTTTTGGTGGTACAAACTTATCTTTTTGCCACACCAGAATATTTTGAACATTTGTATATTCTGTATTTTGTAAATTTTTAATTTCTATTTTCGAATGTACCCAAACATTAAAACGACAAAAAAAAATAATTTTGTGATTGGACAATTACTTGCACGGGTAACAGTGTGGCACATATACAAAAGAATAAATTCATTAACTCAAATCACGTGAATTAGATCCACTGACATTATTTGTTCACTGTTATGCTCACCTCGCATATTAAAAATAATATTGTATAATAAACTATTATTAAATTTTTACTATTCAAATGACACGTACTATTAACTTTTGATATTTGTGAAGGAAAAAAAAATTGTTGGGTATAGAAATTAATTGTTTATTATTATAGGCAAGGATTTACCAAGAAAGTTGGCGTATTGGTGGGTTGAAAATTAAATATTTATTCATAACACCACCAGAAATTATGACCATTTTATGCCAATGTTGATTGTTATATCTATATTTTAAAATCCCGGTTTTTTTTTTTTTTATGGAATAACAATTTATTACATTTAACAAGTAGCAAATTTGTTTACAATATTTTATAGTTAAAAGAGTATCATTTACTCTTTCAAGCATACATCAGTTTTAAATATCCTTTGTTTAAATATGTGCGTTTGCATATGTGTGTGTGTTATTTTATCTCACAATTTTATATATTATATATCCTATATATTTGCCCGAGAAGTATAATTTCTTATCTCGCCGTTCAATCTGTAGCAAACGAATACCTATCTATTAACATATTTTAACAGTGTAACGGTGAATTTCGAACTGAAACATCACGAATGCGAAATAAGCATCACGTGAAAAATTACCGTTAAAGCCGAAACCGCCTACTAAACTAAATAGTTCGGTTTAACGCGGAAATATTATTATTTTCGTTCGGCGCCTAAATTGTTAGCAACAAATTGTATTTGCCTTGTACATGTATTATGCTGTAACGAGACGTTGTTGATAATTTAATGAATGGTTTAAAAGTGACTAACGTGATTTGTATGGTACACGTTCAAACCGCGGGAGACTATGAAATCTGTGTTTTAGAAATCCGTCGGTACATCCATTACTCCCCGGCTACGGACTATTGTAATTAGTCCGTTCAATCTAACTCGTCGTTTAAATCGAAATTATCGTGCGGATTTTTTTTTTTTTTGTTCTTTAAGTCCCCCATTCCTATTCCACCGCTTGTCAAAAACTGTACTATACAAGCAGCTGTAACGATCCACTTATAACGGCTGCTTGAAACATAAATATATATTATATTTATTAAATATTAATTGTATACTCCGCGTATCAGCGGCGAAACGAACCAAAAATAACAACAATAAGCAACACGATTTAATTCATATGCAGCAACCGCCCGCCGGTGTTTCCCAATAAATCCCGATATGCTTGGTGATTTTCAAAATTAATACCCGCCTTTAAATCTTAATAAAAAAAAAAATCGAGAAGCTTATCTCAAATATCGCGTTCGTTTCGCCACTTAAATTTCGATATTACAAAAAATCTGTTAAAAATAATATAAGACTCGTAACGAAGTTTGTGACCCAATCACGCCGTCACGCCTAAACGGATTTGGATACATACATATAGGAATATGTTCTGGACTAACACAAAGGATATATATTTTTACCCCGAAAAAATCAACACCCTGTAAGGTGGCTGATATGAGGATCTCGGCATTTTCGGAACAATTCTAATAATTTTTGACGGTTTATGGGTTATTTCGGCGACACGGATGGAAAAAAAAACACCATTTATTATTGGTGAATTCGGGTGTCACGGACAAACAAACGTAGTCTTTAAAACGAAATGATAAACACCCGGGCAACAATGTGTTAACTACGTAGTGGGTACGGGGTGGAAACACGGTTTTAAATATTTCATTTTTTGTTTCGTTCAATACCGTGCACGAGCAAAGCCGTACAAGCGGGACGCAGCTAGTATTTAATTTACGGAATTAAAAATGAATAAGAAATGAATTATGGGAGCGCTAAAAAAAATAAAAGAAATAATAAACAACATAGAAGTACGATCGCGGATTTGAAATGTAATTTTTTTTTTTTTTTCGATATTTAATTTTGTTTTTTGTTTGTTTTGTATTACAGATATGACTAGCGTGTAATGCCCCAGCGGACACCTGTAGGCATCTGCGATGGGTAACTCGAACAGTCACGGTAGCTCGTACGCGACCAGCGACACGCAAGTGCTACCGCAACACTCGTGGGCGTACTCCTTCCCGCGGTCCCAGTACTTCAGGCCGCCCGCGGCCGGATCCAAAGTTCTACCGCCCCACGTGCCGGGACAACGGTTGAGGCCCACCGAAAACGGGTCCGTGCTTCACAGCGTCGGCACCATCACCGGTAAACGGCCGTACGAGTATTCGCACCATGATGAGGTGAGTGGTACATCGGTAATGTCATTCGGTGTGATCGAGTAGGACAGCGAAGAGTAATATTCCTTACTGGGAACGATCATTTAATGAATAACGTGTTGACGGTCACTATATAATAGCATTCGTTTTTTTTTTTAACGATTGTTTAAACCATATTTTACTTTTGATTATTACTGATAACTACTATACAATGTCTTTGAGAATATACGTCTACATAGGTATACTGTTATTGTGTGCCCATGTGGATCCTAATGACTAAAGCGATAACAAAACGGTTTCAATATTGTCGCACTGTGATATCGTTTACGTTAAAATACTCTAATACACATAACGCATCAAAACTAAGCGATTCTAAATTGACAAAAAGCTATAAGAATAATAGCGAATTGCTATAGCAGTCGTGGCCGTCAGTGTTGAATAAAAAATTTACCCCGTTCAAAACCGTATTTTACAAGTATTTGCGTATAAAACAAACAAGATAAGCGCGTCTTATAAGCGACCACTAATGAATTTTGATATCGAATCGCTCGAAAAAAGATCAAAGTTTAATGATGCGTTTTGGCTCTACAAGTTTTATAATTCTCAAATCGACCGTTCAAAGATATTTTATCAAATACTTTTGAACGTTCCCCGCGTTAATACTCGCGTATCACAGACATTTTACACGTCTAACTATACCACCGAAATTACAGTAATTTTGCTCCGACCTATAGAATGCTAATATATACTACAGATCATTCGCTAAAACATTTCGATTTTATAAACGATTACTTAATCCGGATGAAATCCCGGCCAGATCTGTGTTTTTTAAACTGTTAATTGGCGGACTTTTTAACTCCGAAATTGTAAAAATGTATGGTAGGAAGGGTAATAAAATGCACATCTATTTTTCAATGATACATTAATAATTATAATTCCCTACATCTCTGGTCTAAACAGATATAATTCACATAAAATATATCTGATATTAGTGTTATATGTGTATCAAAATTTCTAGACAAATATTTTCTATTCAAATCTATGTTCAAAAAGGAGGAGGGAGCTTCCTATTTGAAAAACAAAAGTATATACTTATTTAAGATATACGGAGTAGGTGTAAAAAATTAAAAATAGTTTTATAATAAAACTTAACCTAACCTAACCGATTCCACAATGATTAGAAAAATAAAAACACAGAAATCAGATTCACTTAAAATCCTCCAAAGAAAATTGCTAGTTCATGATAAAAAAAAATGATAAGAAAAATCCATTTTTGATACAACCAGTCGATCTAATAGTAAAATAAAACTGAATTATTGCCACGCTTCTCGGTAACAAATATATATATATATTTATAGGCATATAATATATAAAATAACTAATACATATAAAAATCAATAGCTGTATTCGCTTACAATAATTTCATAGATAATAATTTATTGTGACCGTGAATCCGTTATTTACGAATGAAAACCGTACAATATAATAAAATATTAATCCTTGAAATATTATGTATGAAAAAAAAAAATTAAAATATCACGGTAAATATTACCGGTTAAATATTAAAAAACGAATATTGCAAAGTACGCATAAAAACTATGCGGGATACCTTCGGCGGTGCACCTAAGCATGCGTGTACTAAATTTGCCTATCCAAAACTCCTCGTTACTATAGTTTGTACAAAATACCGGTTAAATGAAAACAAAATATTTATGCATTTCTATATTATACAAGGATGACATTTTTAGATTCTGAACGAAGCGAGGAATGTATTGGTTTTATTATGATGTTTATTTATTTATTTTTTTTTTTTTGTGTGAACACTTTTTCTACCAGAAAGCTTACATCGATTATCAAGTGTAGCACCTTTTCTAAAAGGAAATTCTGTCTGGGTGGTACTTTATAGCAGTCATTTTTTTTTAATTCTCGTTAATATTCAACATAATGAAAAAAATCTGGTTCTTTAGATTAAAAAATATTTAAAGATTAAAAATAAAGTTGTCATTAGCAACCGTTTTTGTTTATTTTTCGTTATTATTAAATTTTTATTATTTTAAATCTTTTTTAAACAATCATTGCTGTACAAATTTTACCATAAAATAACATAAATTTTATATTGTTGACAAAGCAACACTATCAACTGTACTCTGCTCAGAATCAATTTTTCGTTAACAAAGGTCTATCGTTGCTTACATTGAATTCCCGTCTGTATCCTACCTTCCCAACTTCCCTCCTACAAAAGTGGCTGCACCCACGTAGTGCATACGTAAAGTATGTCCACCTTTCAGTATTTATTTATTTTTTTAAATTCAGTTTAAAATATTTGTAAGATCTTAAAGTTTGAACAGAAAACTTATATTTGTCTTTTATGAACGTGGTAAAATGTTCAAAATATTTTTGCCATTTTTGAGCTGTTTTTAGACATTTTAATATTATGGGTTTTATTACATAATTTTTGGTCTGTGGATAAAATTATTAGACCAAATAGAAATTCTAAAAACTTCAACATCACGTTCATTATTACTCGTAGTTTGTGGTAAATAAAATTTGAATTTGATGGAGAATTTTTTTTTTTTTTTTTATAAGAATTTTAATATAAAATGTTTATAAAATTCTAAAAAATATTACGGCCTAATATATAAATATTACAAAACAACACTATTAACCGAACACCGCTCGGAATCGTTTTTCGTTATTAATGATTAATCTTTGTATATACACATTAAATTTCCCCTCTACCTTCCGAACTTCCAACCTACAACAGTGGCCCACCCATTGTGCGAAGTATGTCCGTATTTTTTTGTTCTTCGTTTTTTTTTTTTTTCTATTATTTCAAATAATTCGATTATTTTAATATTGAAATTACAAATCATAAACCAGCGATTAAAATCTGATATCGGATAACAGTGTATTAATTTATACTATAACTTGTATGCTTCGAATTTTTTTTTTTTTATTATTTTAATTTTAATTTTAATTATAACACATACAATCTGTAAATACACTTTTTACAACAAGCATGTATGCTTCGAATTAAAACCAAAATACCCGAAATAATTCGCACCGCAGTTGCTGTTGAGGGTGGAAAGTTTACGTCGTTAGAATTTCGTCAGCGACGATAAATTACTTCAAACAAAAAATCATTCTGAGCGGTGCTAGCACGCGAAACGCCGCGATGATTTGTACGATTTTAGTCGTCAATTTTCACGGGCGTCGAGTATAAAGGCGGGTACGTCGCGCCTACGTTACGTTAAATTGTAAATGATGAACGCGAGACGGACGGCGGACAAGATAGCGACGGCGTTCACTAGTCCCACGGTTAGGTTTCAGCTTAGGTAGCAAATCAGATAAGGCGACTAGGCGACTTCGATTTTGGTAGAGGGCTACGGTCTCACCACCAGAATTGATAACTTAAAATAACCCATAGACGCTCGTCCCCACCTTTCTTTACCATCACAACACATTCTGGACAAAGTGAAAAACGTATTCGGTTTACAGCGGTATGTCGTGAGCAAAGTAAACCAATCGTTAGCTGTACTCAAAATTCCATACGCCCGTCATTAGTACCTTAAAACATTAATTACTATAATGCCGAATTCGTTTACCCGTAATACGATAGTAATATAGATATTTTTCCACCTATAAGTGTTTCCATCTGTAGTTTTACTTTAAAACATTAGAGTTTTAACAACATTCGTTTGTCGTTTTTTTTTTTTTTTTTCAAATTACGAAATAATACTACTCAACAAGTATTATCAACACGATATTTTTATGTGGTCTGAACCACTGGGTATTATGTATTAGATTGAACGGTCGGTCGAACGTTTTATTATAACCATTAACTTACTGACTACAGTGAATTGTCCGATTAAAAAATCTCCGAAAGTATCGCTGAACGCGACAATATTGCACAGTGTGTAATTTAAAACTACACTCTATGACAGATTCGTGTAGAATAAATGCAGGTAGGTTGACGTGCGAGGTTTCAAATATGTAGGTATATCCAAAACCGATTTACCGGGTTTTAATTGTTTACTGATACGAATTGTTTGATAAGAAACCTTGTAACCGGATTTAAGGTCATTCCTTTGGTATGTTATCATAATATGAAAATACCGCAAAAATGCAATCGCATTTATATAAAACTTTGTACACTAATATTCCGTGTATCTGTGTATCGATTAAAAAAAAAAAAAGAATAATTAAATTTTGACTTACGGGGTTTTTCCGCGACGCCGTCGATATTATATTGCGTCCGTCTGTATCCAAGGAACGTGATATTGATTGCGTTTTGCATAGAAATGTGTATTTTCGGAAAATGTTCGCCGACACGTTCACCGTAAACGAAAAATAACAAAACGCACTTTGGAACTAATTAATAATATTACGCGAACGCACGCGGCCGGTTTTTGCGACGATAACGTTATTCGACGATTTTCCATAACTGATATTCAACGTGTGTTTTGATAAATCTGTCGGTGAAAATAAGGAAGTATTATTATTGGCCGGGGCAAATCTATTGACAGTGTGACCAATGGGTATACATTTACGTATCAGTGTACACCAAAATCAAATCCGCGTAGATACGCGCACTATAGATACGTAGGTACAATGGAAACGCCGTGTTTTATCGATTGTGTTATTGTATTATTGTATTGATATAATCGAAATTTTATCATATCTATAAATAGCTAACATCAGTATTCTGTCAATAGTTCCAGTCCTTGTAAGGTAAAAAAAAAAAGTACAATTGAAAATAATAGATATCGTTTTACCTACATTTTCCCTCTCCCCTGGTTTTTCCGAGAATTGGGAAAATTACTTGAAAAATCGAAATAAAAACCTCTCCGTACGCCTCCTCCCTCCCTATTGTTAATGATCTGAGCAATACTTTTAGTAGACAAATTGTAAAACGATTCATTTGGCTACTCAACTTGCGATTAATTGTATTATTATTATAAGTAGGTATTGGTTTATGACATACAACCTACTTAATTCAAAAATAACACGTTATTTTCTAACTAAAAGCTCGATATTATGATAAAACGTTTTAGTTACACAAATCATTTTGACTATTTTGTGGTTTCAGCCCCAACATGGATACGAAATGCAAAGACACATACAACGCGATGGTCGGCGAGATCGTATGGGGTTTAATATGTACACCAGCGAACCAGACTTACGATTTGCAGACTCCAGACAACCGCCGCCAATGGGTTACCAGAATCAACATCATAATCAGGGAGATAACGGAGCTGTCAAAGGTAGAATGTCCAGATCGAAAAAGAAGTATAGGGCCCCTCAAATACCTATTTCTTCTTCGCATCACAATGGGGTGAGTGTAATGATAATTTCGAATTAAAAAATGTGTGTATCAATACTAATATTTAAACATTTTATGCGATTCGTAAATCGTATTTTATTTACCGCGTAGATCGATAGTTCTTCTCCGGACTCGTATCAACACTGGGAACACCAAAGAGATAATAGTAGATCTAGTCAAAACAACGGTATGCCTAGGTTAAGATTATTTAAAACCAGAGCTGAAACAAAACGTAAGCTCAGCAAAGATGAATTCAAAGAAATTCAGCCACAAGTTAACCCTCAACCTAGCAATCTACACCGAAGCATGTCATCCCCTCAATTTCAAGTAAGTGAAAAATACAACTTGGTAGTTGTTGCATACTTATTAATTGTTTATGCATGCAATGTATTTCGTTTATTAAATGGTTAAATTTAATTTCACCGTTCATTCATACGAAATCTAAATATTTTATTGTTAATATGATATACGAATTAACTGTTAAATAAAGGTACCTAAACCGTATTTATTTTCATTTAATTTACTTATTAATATTAAACATTTTCCAAAAAATCATACATTTGGTAACTACCATAGAAATAGTACTACCTACAAAATAATTAATTATTATACTCATGTTTCAAATTTAATTACTAACTATAGTGTTTACTATAATTTTTGTTCATAAATAAAATAAATATATATTATAAAATATGATATATACCTAATATATTGTATTATTAATTAATTTTAAAGGCGGAATTAAAACGTGTTACGGAAAGGCTGAGGGAAAAAGAATTTCGCCATCCGCCTGTTGGCCGCTCTTCGGAAAGTTCGTCTAATCCAACATCAGAAGAACGAATGATGGTCACTGAAAATGATAAACACAGAGAAAGTCCGGTAAATTCGAACAGACAGCGGTTAATGGCTGACCGGGCGAAACACATGTCTCGTTCAATACCAAATCTTGCGACAAAGTTAAATGAAGACGATAATATCCGCTGTACAGGTGAAGGTTCATCAGCCACGGGTTCTAATGATGAAAATAAGAATCGAGACAAAAGAGACATCAAGCCGAAAATAAGGTAATAAATATAATACTAAATACCATGCAGTTTATTTTAATAATATAAAAAATTATATTATAATATAATTAAATTATATTTCTTGTTTTAGTGCACCGGAAATAAAGCCAAAAACATTTTATTTCGGTATGAATGAATTAAATGATACAACAAAGATTAGTAAAACCTCCGAAGATGTAGATCGCTTTGCTGAAAGTTTTAATAAACCAAACGGTTCACCTTCAGATAGCATTGTTAGTAGTGGTCCAACAGATGAGGTACGATTTTACATAAAAATATATTTTATTCCCCTAGACAATATAGTTTCATAATTAAAATTAAATTGCTAATCAGAGCAGAAACATACATTACATACATATTACACAAACATGTTTTCAATTTTAAATATTCAACTATTACAAATGATATTTAATTTATGTGAATGAAATTATAAATAAACCATAACTTTTTAATAACTAGGTATTATTGTTGTATTTATGAAATTTATTTTTATACATCTTTTATACATTAAGATAAACAAAATAAACATTCTGAATATTTTATTTTCACTAATTAAACATGTAGATTTTAAATTCAAATAATGCACAAATTAATTTAGTATTTAATTGTGTTTGTTAAAACCTATATTACATTAGAAGTTCATTTATTTCTCATTATTTAGTTAAAATTATTTTCTCGTTTTTATAATAGAGCGGTGGAGACATATCACTTCAATTAAGACCTACATTACCTAGAAAGCAATTTGATATACCCAGATTTAGCCCAACGGCTGCTTGGCGCTTGCTCACTGCCTTAGAAAGTCCAACGCCAGTTAGTCCAAATTGTAGTGGTGGGGAAGAAGATTTAATACCAATTATAGATCAACCTCATAATTCTGGTGATAAATCTGGAGATAGTGGCATTTCAGGAGATGCCAGTCCACATTCAGCTCATAATTCACAAGTAATTGATTATTATTTACACTATTTTAAATACAAATTGAATACGATGAGATTATTTAACATGCAGGCTGCTTGGACTCCACAACAAGATTTAGAAGAAACAAGTTCCGATGGGGGATTAGATTCAGCGCCAGTATCGCCTCAAAGTTTGGATACAACACAATTTTCTAGAACCCGCACAGTAGCTAGGCCAAGTTTTTGTTTATCTTTACCTAGAGATGAGAATGTAGGAATTGATAGAAGATATGGACAATTGGTAAGTATTTTTTTTGGAAATGATAATATATTTATATATTAAAATATTTTGTGTTATGTAAAGAATGAAGATTTTTCACCAATGAACCCACCCAAATCCAATAACTATTTCAAATCTAAGCTGAATAGAGGAAAAACATCAACAGACAGGAACAAATCACACTTGGATGAGAACTGGGTGTTAAGTAGAAGTGTTCCTGATTCGTTACATCAATCTGGTTTAGTTGGTAATTTCCCATCACAAAACTGGAGCCATTTAGAATGTCAAAACGGTGAAGAACCTGCTGATGAAGAATTAGCTATGACATCATTACCAAAATTTTCATACTTAGCGGCGGGTAGACGAGCCATGTATTTGCCAGAATATAAATCATTAAACTATTTATATCAGAAGTACATTAGTTAAATATATAAATTACTTTTAGATGTATTTAAAATTGTGTTTTTATTCAAAGGGATGTGCCAAGTGTTCCTGAAAACAAAACTATTGTATCAAAATCATGTGAGGATCTAACTAGAGATGATCAAGAAGACGACCAATTAGTTGGCATAAATGAAAGGGCAAAACAAAAATCAACAAGTAAGAAATTTGCATTTCAAAGTACTATACGGCAAATTGAACGTAAGAAAATAGCAGAAAAATTATCAAAAGAAGCGGAGTACAAAGGTAAAGAATATTATATTTTAACAAACTTGATATGGTCAAATTTTTTACTGTGGTAAATAAATGATTTTAGAGCGCCAAAGACTTAGTGAGATGGAAGCTATGCGTCAAGTGGAAGAAGAGTTTCAACGAAAACGGGAAAGAGAAAAGGCAGACATTCGACAACAGTTAAGACTATATACGTTAACTCAAGGTGATAGGGAACCAGCACAACCTCTTCCATCTGGTACTCAGGTTCTTTCAGAATTCCGAGAGTCTCGACGAGATTACAAAGATTTCAGTTCGTCTAGGTGAAAATTATTTCATAGTAAACACATTAATTTTTTCTAAATTAATAATATTTATCAACAAAATACAACATGTTTTATTAGAGTTGAACATGAACCTAATAATCGTGCTGAAACTCCTGTAAAAAAATCGACAACTGTGCACCCCAAAGTTGTGTACCAAATGCCCAAAAGTACTGCAGTGTATGTGACACCAAATTCAGTTCGAAAGCAATGCAATGGAATCGAAAAAGGATTGTCTACACCCACGAATGGAAACTATAGAAGAGATTTTGCTCAAGGAGCTTTACCACATTCTGTAGCCAGTTCAGACTCTGATGTATCTGGGTCAAATACTCGACCAACATCACGTACTAAACACCGAAGCAGGTAGATAAATTTATCAACATTGACTAAAACTAATACTATAACTACCTACTAACTGACTAAACTTAACAAAAATTATATTTATATTAATCGACAACAGATGACTTAGTAAGTTTGTAATGCATGATTACAATTTTTAAGTACATCATAAAGTTGCATAATTAAAATTGCAACAAACACTTCACAAAAGTAATAAGTATTGACTTTTTAAAAAATAGACTAAATTATATTTTGGACAAAACATAAGTTTTAAATTATAACTAACAAATTAAGTATATACATACTGTTTATTAAAAAAATAGCAATAGATTACAAATAAAATATTATAAATATTATTTTTATAAAAATTTATTGTAAGTCAACAATTAGCTGAGATTTTGTGGAAGGTTAAGTCTTTAAACAAGCAATTTTAAAATTTAATGAACAACCAGAAATTGAACAATACTATTAAAACTAAACAAATTTCAACATATAAAATAGCAATTCTATGGCACATAAACTGTTTATATACAAAATGATTCACTAAGGGTGCTCACCCTTTCTTCTTTTTCTTTTTCTTTTTTTTTTTTTTGTTAAATTTTGAATACATTCAAATTCTGATTATTGGAACTTTTAGGTGTAGTTAAAGCCGATATTTTCGAAAATTCATTTAAGAACAACATATAAGAAGTATCCTGTAACAATACCAACTATGGTTTTTTAAATGAGAACCTATTAAAAATTCCATTAATAGACTTAATAGGACTATAATAGAAATATTACTTTAAATAAGTTTTAACACCAAAATTTATTTAAAGTGATACCACGTCTATTTATGAAATTTTTAATATATGTTCTCATTTGAAAAAACCAAAGTTGATATCACCACAGGATACTTCTTAAATGTTGTGAAAAATTTAAGTATTCCCTTAAAAATTAAAAATTCTAAAAATCAGAATTTGAATATATGAAAAATTTAACCAAAAAATGGGGTAAGCACGCTTAGTGAATCATCATGTATATATTTGATAAAGAAATAAAAACAAAATCTTCCTTATAGTGTTTTCTTTAATAATATTTTATATTTCTCGTTATATATTAACATAACATTGTCATAAAAAAAAAAAAAAATATTTAAAAACGAGAAAAATTAACAATTGTTTTAACATTTTGAATTACACTGCTAAGTAAAATAGTATCCACTGATACCGTTACAAATTATAAATAAATTGAGTAAGGTATGTAGGTTATTAAATACTAATTTATATTTATATGATATTTAATATAAGTATTGTGCATTATAATAATGTACAGTAAATGGATAATTATTAAATTTGGTTATGGTGGATGCTAATTTTAAGAACACATTGACATTGTTAATATATATATATTATACCTGCTGACGCAAAACGCATTAAGTTCTTAATAGTAATTTTTGGAATTACAATTTTTGAGTAAACGGATACGATATAAACTGTATGCCACTGATTTATATGTAATATTAGCTACCTACTCATGAACACGATGACAAACAATTAATTAAAACACAAGACTTTTTACTCCATTAACCAACTTTTTAATAAATTTAAAGATTATCAATACAATAACATCAATTTTTACATATCTATTTACTCTACTAACTTCTATTATTATGCTTTGGTTAACAATTCTAACACAGGTTTTAGCAAGTACAAAGTTCAGGATTAAGTGTGTATTCTAGTCAACAAATTGAAGTCACCTTATAGGTTGGTAGAAAATGTTGTTTGGTATATTATACTTTTATATTATAACATTATTGAATAATATTAAAATATATTTGTTCGTATTTAGATCAGCCAGTCCAATTTCTGATCGAGAAAACAATGACATTTCAAATAATCTTAGTTTTATAAATATCATAAAAAACTTGAAACAACAAGAAAATAACAAAAAGGTAAATATATTTTTAAAAAAAAGAACAACTTTTCATAATAAATATGATCATTTTTATTCTTATTAGAAATTAAATGAAGTTACCAGTGAATTGATATCGACTAGTTCTACAGTCGGTGTAAACACTCTACAACCATTTATAAAAAATAAAAATTCAATGTACAAACCTATTGTTTTCAATCCGATAAACAAAACCAAATTTGCTCAACCATTGATGTAGTTTATAATGTATGCACATTTTCATTTTATTATTATAATTTATAGTATAAGATTATTTACCTTATTCGTAATGCATTGTTTATATATTTTAATAAATTAATTTGTTTAACTAATACTGTATTAGAAGTATTATTAGCTAGTGTAATAGTAAATAATATTCAGACAAAAATGTTTAAGTAAAATAAATTATATAATTGTAGTTAATCCAAATATTTTGTGTTTCATTGTAACATTATTTATAAATTTTAATTTTTAACATGAATCTTTATTTCAATTATTGTTATCTTATTATTTAGTTTATATTATAACATTAATCGCAAATGTTATTATTGTTAAAATGATCACTTTATTTTGTTTAGTTGCTATGAAAATAAAATACATTCGATGTTTATATAATTGCCATAATATTATAAAATCTGTTAAAATTTAATATTACAATTTAATTTTAATTTTATGTATTATAATATGAAAATGATTTTATTTTTTTAAAACATTATTTTTACACTCTTCATTTAACTTTAACTTATAATTTAGTTTAAAAACTATTTATGATAAACAGTACAATACAAATTATGCATTTCTAAAAATAAATGTTCTTAAATTATGTAATTCTTAAATATACCAAGCCTGTTCACTTTTTCAAATATAATAGTTTTGATACTAGCTACCTGTACATTGATAAGTAAGTGGTCTTCACAATTTTAATCCTGGTGGTCTTAAGTTCCAGACTCCATACCCGAACGCACTTATGTTAAGCTGACAAAATATGTCAAATATAACAATGATATGTTTTGAATGGTTGTTTATTAAGTTTAAAATTTAAATTTAAAAATATAACAATTATTGGTTTAACAAGTTTTTTGATCGGTTGAATCTTCTTTTCAAAAATATTTATATTTTAAAACAACCATATTAGGTAGGTATCACTGTAATTCAGTGATATTCTTGAAGGGACTATTTGGTATACTAATTAATGGCATATTAATATTATATTAATTAACAAATTACACCTTATTAATTAATAAGTATACAGCATCTATGTTTATAAAAAATTAAAAAATAACCGTGAAAAACAGAGCTGTGTTAAATTAAGTCAAATTTTCTTTCACATATTTTTCATTATAGAAATATTCTTTGTGAAACAATTACCGAATACTATAATAATACAATACTATATACAGATACTTCGAGTATATCTTCTAAGCACTTCAAAAAATAAAATAGTGAAATTTGGGTATAGAAATATCTGGGGTGGAGGTTGAAAGTTTAAATTTCTAAAAGCCTGTCCTATGATCCTAACACCGTGCAAAATTGTATGAGCCTGGCTTCATTTGGGATCAGTAAAGGCGTTCAAAACTTAAAAAACACACTACTCCCGCACTAACATTGTGGCTAAATTTATATTTAAATTCAACCCAACTTTTATCACATTATATGTCTGCAAAAGTTCTCCAATTTCCGAATTAAAGTGTATTTGAGGCAGCGGAACCGCTAAAAATGTACAAAAGTATCAAATAAAATATAAAAATAATTTATAATATCTACACTAAAACATAATTATATAATTAGACCACTGGTTAGGGGGTAGGTTAGTTGTTATATCTCCTTATTAACTTAAAAATACAACAACTATGCATATTTATTTAGTAGTTGATTTAATCTAGAAATTCATATATTTCAGCCAGTTACAATAAGATAAATTTATTGATTAAAAACTTCCTTCTTTTGATCCGGATTTTAAATTTCCATAGCGAGTGGAGTAGAGAAGATTTTACGAATTATTCGAGGTGATTATTATTTGCTACATCCTCTCTCGTTGTGAATTCCTGACAAATCACTGAATAAGAATTAAATAATACTTAATTTCTGTCGATTTTGTAAATAAATTAAATTCTGCCATTAGGATTATCCACTATAAAAATTATAAGAAACCAGTAAACCAAGTATTGACTTCACTTTAGAGTTTATCTTATTTTTGATAATAATCTGAAAGTGCTTATCTATAGCCTATTGCATCCATCAGAATTTTAGAATTATGGTAGGTCTACCTGCCTACCTACTTATCTATTTATTTTAAAATTAAAGTTATGACTGGTAATGCCATATAAAGACGTGAGTCATGATTAATGAATAATAAACTGATAATACTCAATTATTGTATATAATTTTAAGTAGTTGTGTTGGTATCTATCTAATGTTATATGATTGTATAAATAATTATCTCAAATTTTTCAAGTTACTTGATCATATTTATTAAAGAATAAATATAGGAAATGTACCGACCTATTTGCGTATTTCATTAAGGTTAAATAACCCAAATAGGTAAAGATGGGTAAGTACAAAATTTAAAAATAAACTCAAGATTAATTTTACAATTTTTTAAAAATAGTCATATCAAGTAGGTAGTAGGTATAATTGAACCTAAATCCCCGATCATTGTTTTAAAAATAGTACCAGATACCTACTAGTAAAATATCTTCCATTAATTATAAACCAATATTTTATAACTTATATATATATATAATTTGATAAAAAAAACAGACAAAATTGTCATGTTAAAAGCTAAGGGGGCAAACGACCTTACTTGCCCCCTCTCCAGGCACCTATATGAATTTATAATACATTTTACTTGTGGAAATGAAAGCACTCATCAATATTCTGTATGTAATCACCTACTCATTGTTCGGCTAATCATTCGAAATGCAACTAAATACCTAGGTAAGTATCTACTTAGAAAATCTGCAAATGACGGACGAAATGCCACTAATGGCAATATACAAGCCACTAGGACAGAAACATTCAGCGCACTGGAAAAAAAAAAACAATCCAACATTGGTATGCCTATCTATTTGTATAAAACGATATTATAACCGTCATATGCAGACACCCAAGTATCTATTATAATTTTGAGCCAAGGCAAACCCTGTTCGGCAGTATACGATTTACAAACACCGATGGACAACGAAATAGTTACGCAAAATTCCATACGAAACTCCAATAGTATCCCAACAATAATCCTTTAATCTCGCGTGAGCATGTCAACACAAGACATCAGAAAATAAAACGGCCGACACTTATTAAAAAAAAAATCAAATCAAATAAATACCCAGTGGCTGTTGATGAACCCGTAAAAACCATTTTATTTGTACCTATGGATTGTAAGTACCTAGTAAATACATGCAATTTGCAAAGGTTCAGTTCAAAATTATAAAAACATGAAATTAATACAAATCAAAAAAAAAAAAAAAACAAACAATCGCGGGATTTTTATTTTTCCCACGGAGCATATAGGTTATGCGTTTTCTAACCTCGGTGTACCAATATGTTTGCGCGGTATACAAGCCTCGTTTCGCGCTTTTTTTTTTTTTTTTTTTATATAGACAATCGCCTAACCTAAAATAAAATCGTCCAAACTCTCAAATGGTTAGATAATAGTGTGTGTGCTATAATGTGGATAATAATACGTCACCATTATTAATTGACAGACCGCGCACAATCTTTGTCGAATCGAGAATCAAAACACGATTTAAGTCTTGACCCAACCGTACCTAGGTACGCGGCTTCCGGATTTCGCAAAATTTACAAATTCGTCGAAAATACCCTACGTTCAGTAGCGCACGCAGGAATTTTTTTCGGGAGAGGTTTTGTTTATAATAATTTCCCAGAGAGGCGATAGCGTATATTTTAAGTACCTACTTAGTACATTAGGTACTATCACAATTATTGACTGAATAAGTGATTTTTGATGGAATCGAATATTATTTCATTCTATGGCATAAAATATTATATGTTGCATGTAAAACTTGATTTAAAACACGCAGCGGAAAAAGACATTAAGAGAGGGATTTTCGACCCACTAAGCCCCAATCTGTGTGCGTCAATGCCCTGTGTTACCGGAGCCGTTTTAGGTTATGCGAGGCTCCGGGAGCTCCGGGGCCTTTATAGATGTTTGACTATCGATGTCTTATAATGTCATTATTTATTATTATTCAGCGATAATATTAACTATGAAATATCCGCTACAAGTTATGACGGATTATTTTTTTGTAAATACCACTGGCTACACTAAAAACGTACTGTTTATAACACTACGCGTAGAATTTCGAATCGTTTTGTCTGTCGAGATTTATTTGAAAAAAAAAAAAATAAATAAAAATAATAACAATAATAATAAAAAATGAATTTATAATTTCTTTTAAGAATAAATCGGAGGCCCTCGTGGAGTACCGCCGACGGCGCCCAGTACCCCCCCCACCACCATATACAATAATACGTAAGGTCATTACTATTGGAAAAGTGGAACGCTAAATATTACAACACGACCGTGCGCCGCGCGACACGATCGGCCGATTTTTTTTTTGTTTTTTTTCATCTCCCGTCAAAATATCATAACGCTCGCGTTTTCGATTTGAACACGTCGCGACGCGTTGTACCGGGGGATATTTGTGAAAACGGAGAGACGAAAAAAAAAACAAAAACAACGTACCGTATTAAAACGCGCGCCGCGGTGTTTTCCGATACGTTTTACACGGGCGCCCGGCGGCACACGATAACAATCGTATGCGCGCGGCACGGGTAATTCCTCGGTAAATCGATTATTAATACAATCGGCGCGAAATCGCGTCGTCGCTTCGAAAGACGTTTTTTATTATTATTATTATTTTTTTTTTTTTTCCCCCCCAAACGGAATTTACATAATATACGGGCGACGGTACGTCGCGGCCGCCAGAGCCGTCGTCGTCGCTTTCGTAAAGGTCGACTGCGACAGCGTCCCGTCAACGGAACGGAAAACGCGTCACAACGCAACAGCATATTGTTGTAATCTGCGAAAAACCGATCCCGCGCGCCCGACAATGGCAATTACACCAACACTATCCGTGCGACTCCGTGTGATCGCGGTACTCGATGGGCCCGACGTACTCGGGGCGTGTTCCGGAATGTCGACGGTCCCCGAACCGCCCAAAGACCCGACGCACCCGATTACGTGCGGGCGACCGGCGG